GGCAGCAGGCTTCTTGGAGCAGCCTGCCCCCTTTCACAAACTTCGCCTTGGCCTTGGAGGCCATGGTTTCAACACTTTCTACACTTGCATGTGCTGCTGAGCCAAAACATTAACCCAAAAAAAAGCTTCAGGTCTTGAAAAAGGCTGGTGGTGTTGAAAAAGGCTTCTGGCCTTGAAAAAAGCCTGGCCTTGAAAAAGGCTTCTGGCCTTGAAAAAGGCACCCTAGCCTCTTACTCTTGAGGCTTGCGTTCAACTCAGGGGTCCTGGCCAGGAGGCAAGGTAGTGCTCAAGGACTCAATTGCTCATAGGCCCCGGAATCCTTTACCAAGACAATATGGGGGACATGGCCAACATCAGGCCTGGGCTTCTGGCTATGTCTTGCCCCACCTTTTCCAAGGCCTGCCCTGTTGTGGCTGCTCTTCTCTTCTTCTCCAATGCCTTTTCTAAGGTCTTTGGGCGGCATGGTCTCTAGGTTCCTGCGCCTTTATATAGCTATGCTCTGTCTAGGTTTGAGCTGGAAATGCTGCAGAAAACTCACCTCCAAAATCAATAAGAAAATTTATCAAGAAATCAATCAACCGTCCAGCAAGCAAACCATTATGAATGATGCACGCGGATGATCCTGCAAGTTTCGGAGTCGGTGGTGGCGCAAAGTTCCTTCTCGCCTGCAAGCTGGCGCAGGGCGCTGGCCTTGCCTGAGTCTCGAAGGCGTAGTTTGCAGTTCCAGAGAGTTGGTTGTACAGTGCTGACCTCTGATGCATGTAGTTTAGCGTGTTTCACCTGTTAATAACTTTGCATGGGAGAGTAGTGTGTTTTTTCGGGTCTGCGTTCGTTGCAAGTTTTCTGTTTTTTTTGGTTTGGTTGGATTTTCGTTTTTCTTGTTTGCCTTTTAAGTGTTCTGTTGGTTCTCTTGCCGGCTGTGCAACCAGAAGGACCAACTTCAACTGGCAAGCTGACTATTGGACAACGGGCACTAGAAAAAAGAGCACTAGTGGTGGGCCTAGAATCTTCAGCCCGAAGAATAGAGCCCGAAAATAGTGCGTCCAAATACATTCTGCGAAAAAGAAAAAAAAAACGCGTTTGTTACTCTTGATCGACTGTGCGCTGACATTGCCACCGCGGCAAGCGCGTGAGGTGCTTACGTCTTAGCGCCGTGCAACCTTGAATAAGAAGGATTCAAATTTTGTTTTGCGTGCGTTCTTGCAGTCAGCAGCCCTGCAACGCCTCCTCTCCCTGTCAGAGCCAGAGCTTCTATTTTATCTGTCCACGATACGGAAACGACGCACCTTTTTATTGCTACAGGCAACTGGCACATCAAGAGAGCACGTCTGCAGCCTGCATGGAAAGGACTTCTTGAGCAAAAGGCCATGGACGTGCTTGCCATCGCAGTTTACATATTCCACAGATGCTCTGGTTCGAAGGATTTCAACCCTTTGAGAGAAAATTCGAGAGCATCTACTTCAGAAGCTGATTTTTGCTTAGGACGGACAAGATGGATCAGAAGAATCAGAAATTAACGGTCCGAGACTGTCCTTCATGCTTTGAGCTAAGAAGGTAGAATGACGGAGGTTTTTTTAACACTAGAATGGGCTGCGAACTTAACTAGATGGAGGTAGCCGACTTTGGCGCTGAAACTCCATTTTACTCTTCAACTTTTATGCGCGTGTCAGCTCAAAAGACAGGTTCACACATGCCGTAATCTAGAAGTGTTATGCAGGACCAAATGTTTCAATGTTTTTGGACCGTCAAAGAATTCTGTTCAACCAATCGTGTGGAAATTTATGTTGCAGTGCACAACAAACTTACGCAAATCTCCATCAATAGGAATGCATGCAACACAGAAACGCGTCTTTTCTTGCAAGCGTGCAACAGCCAACAAGTTTAATTTCTTAAGGCATGTCAAGCTAGATGCCTCCAAGCTGAAAGATCTGACGCAAAGCTGATAAGGGTTGCACGTGTTGTGTTTTCTAAAACAGTTACGTCGCTTGGACATCTGCTCACTAGCCAAGCCTGCATGCCTGAGACATCAGCTCTTTCGCATGATTAGCGACTCCAGTCTGCGCAGCCCGCAAGAATACCGAGCAGAGTCCCCAACCTACTGCCTTACTTCTCAGCCTGTTTGGCAATCCTTGAATCTTATCCGGCGGGTCTTCAAGCGTGTGTTCCCTTTGTTTGGGTCTTTTTAAAAGAAACCTCCGCCAAAATTCCGCCAACGGTAGACAATTCTGCATCTCTTTTGACCTTGCGTCAACCCCTCTTCAAGGGAGAGACGGAGCCTCACTTTTGTCAACACGAGCCACTCCCCATGCCTCAGGACATTCGCCGACCTCGCAGGGACTCGTTTCTGCTCGAGCACCAAAAAGGAGGCGCGGCGGTGGAGCTTAGGTTAGTTCCTGGTTGCTACCAACATTGGTAGTGGGGCGTTGTCGCTCCTGTAGTTTTTCCTTGTGGCTTCCCTCGGTGGGGAAGGGATCCAACACGAGCCATGTCGGAAGAGCGTGGTCTCAAACGTTTCTCCGGGGAGGAGGAAGATGTAGGCAAGCAGCTGAGACGCTGGAAGGCGTGGGCTCTTGCGAAACAGATGACTGTGAAAGATCTGCAGAAGACCCAGCGGGGTCCTTGGCTGTTTACTCTTAGATGGTCGAGCTCTGGAGGCTTGCGGAAGACCTTGATCGGAGCGGACACCTTGGAGTCAATGGAGAAACTGCTTGGTGGCCGACCTGTAGTTCGAGAAAGACAAGTGAACAGCTTCCGCTTGGCAATGGTGAGGCAGAGACTTCGGAGGTGACCCGAATCCCTGTGGCCATTGAAGGGAAAACGGGATTGATCATAGCGGCTGTTATCCGTGGCAAGGCTCCTTTGTTGTTGGGCCGCCCGTCGCTGGAGAAGCTCAATTGACCATCGACTTTGCCCGGTGCACTGCTACCGTGTTGAAGGATCCGAAGCCGATTGCCCTTCACCGCAATGGCGCTGGACAGTTGCTCCTCAACCTTGTTGACTTTCCTTCCAAGGCCCCTAGTGCTAAGGGTTCTAGTGGTAGCCCCCCGGTTAGCCAAGGTTCTAGTCCCCTTGCTGAAAATCCCTCCAGAGAAGTAGAGCACCTTCGCTTGGAGGACATCTCCAAGGAGGATGGCGATGCAGCCATCTGGGAACTTCTACATGAGAGGTTCCCGGAAAAGAAGCCCCATGATCAGATGGGAGACGCCCTTGGCGAGGTCTTCGGCCTTGCTGCGAAAGACGGAGAGTCCATGAAGGAGTGGACCGCCAGGGTCATGGAGACCGCAAGGCAGCCGTGGGTTTTCCGAAGGAAGCCCACGGTTGGATTGCCTTACACTGTGCCGGCCTTTCGGAAGAACAGAAGGCCATTGTGAAGGCCAAGACTCAGGGCAAGTTGGATCTGGAGACAGTAAGCGCTGGAAGCAGGTTCTGCTTCTCTTCGCTCAAGGCGACGGGGGTCAAGACAAAGCGTCCAACCTCAGTGCTGTTGGCCGAGGATGAAGACCTCTTGACAGACCAGTTGGCAGAGGGAGAGTCCTTTGCCGATGTCGAGGCTTTCCTCGCTGACTATGGCCAGGGCGATGGTGCCGAGGACGCAGTGTCAGAAACTGACGCAGCCGAAGCCCTAGCGGTTTCGTGGAAGGAGAAGCGATCCGAGATCAATCGCCTGCAGAAGTCTAGGCAGTTTCATGCTGCAGATGCTTCTCGACGCAACTTCAGAATTGAGTTCGAGGAACTCAAGAAGAGAACCCGACGCCGAAAATGCGGGAGGATAGGGCATTGGGCCCGCGAATGCCGGTCTAAGCCCCAGACTTCCGCGTCAGCTCCTCCTGGGTCCAGCAGTCAAGGAAAGACTGCCGCAGAGACCCTGTTTGTGGAGACTCAGGCTGACTTGGGTGAAGAAGCCCCTGTTGAAGAACAGGTGCACTTCGTTGGCGCGGCCGAGGAGGCTTTGTCAGCGTCGCTGGTCTCGTCCCCAGGGTTCGGCGTGATCGACTCCGGCTGTGGAAAGCATGCCCGAAGTGTTGCTCACAGATCAAGTCCAGGTCCAGAAGCAGGCTGCCCCTAAGCTGAAACGTAAGAAAGCCCGTAAGCTACTTGCTCAGTGGAGGCGCAAGCCATCTATCAGCGAGTCTGCTCCGTCATCCCATGTTGCAGTCGCCGAGCTGTTTTCTCCGCCTAGATTCAAGCTCGAGGCCGAGCGCCATGGGTTAAAAGGGTTTAGCTTTGATCTTAGTCAGGGTTGGGACCTTCTTGATTATAGGGTTTAAGTTGAAGTGGACAAGCTGCTAGAACGGTCTGGATCCAAGCTTCTCGTAGTATGTCCACCGTGCAGCTACATGGGTGGTTGGCACCACCTGAATTCCACCAGGACGCCAGCTCTGCAGCGTGCAAGCTTGCTGCAACAGTCACGCGCAAAGGCACGCTTTGCCGCTGAGCAGTGTCAGAAGCAACTTAAACGGGGAGGGGATATCCTCTATATATATGGTAAGGATGGGCTATCGGCTCACAATTCCGCCCGAGTGTCCCCCCACTCGGATTCGAGCTATTTCGCCGGCCAGCTCCGGGTATCCCCCCACACGGTTCGTGGGCCATCTGGAGTATCCCCCCACCCGGCTCGAGCATTCTCCATATGTCGAAGATGCCTCTGGATACTCAGCTTTCATTCTAGCGATAAATTCCAAAAACGAGCGCCGCCGGAGTATCCCCCCACCCGGCTCGAGCATTCTCAAGAAGTCGAGGCTTGGATCTCCAGCAGAGCGTCCGGTCCTTTCCAGCTGCCGCCCCATCCCAGGTCAAGGTCCTGATCCGAATCCCAACCAATCCCACAAAATGTCTGGTCCAGGAGGTGTCCGACTGATACAGGGCTCAATGAGAGGGTTATCAGTAACCGCTCGCGTTGCGAGGAAAGCGGAGGAGTCAGGGATGGCACTATGCCCTTTTTTCCAAGTTCCTTCCCTCCCCCACCCTCCCAGCTCAGCCTCAAACCCTCCCCCATTCGCTCCCCACAATCAGCTCCATCAACCCTCCCATCCCA